GATGTGACATATTGGACAGTTACTTATGTCCTCTGTGCCTGTTTTCTTATCTCTCCTGTGCAATGAATGAGACTAGAAATGCCTGCTTGCAGGGTCTTCCCAAGGGACAGCAGTGATAAACACTTGTGACAATGTTGGCACACACTGAGACTCATGTAAATTTCAGCCAGTAGCATATCTGGTTGGTAAGATTGTGGGGAAAACACTCTATTTTTTGAACTCCATGAAGTGAACACAGAATATTCTTGTATATGGACAAAAAAAAATATGAAATAAAACTGTCAATAGCACTTTGGGGGAGGATTCAGGGAGATGTCTCCAGTGCTCTGCTTTCCCCTCCCTCTGTCTCTTTCCTCTTCCTCCCTCCTTCCCTCCCCCCAAACCCCTCCCCTCTGCTCACCAGATCACATTCCTCACTTCTATCCCCAAATAACTATAATTAAGCTCTTACTCTGTCATGGCCATTTCACGGTTCTGCGTCTGAAATCAGCTCCTCCTGGCTTGTCTCCCTTCTCCTCAACCTTGGGAAGCAGAGGCAGCGTTCTGCATAGCCCAGGATGTGCCACGAGATTTAAGAATGATATAATCTCCATTTGTTGACTATTCCCTCAGCGTGTGCCAGGCTTGGCTGCTTGTGTTCAGCTCCTTCTATATAATACCTTCTTGGTCCTCGCCGTGACCCCGTGAGGAAACCGAAGCTGGGGAGGTAGAGTAAGTCTCCCGAGGGCCTCCCAGGTAAGTGGTGGAGCTGTGATTTGAATCCACCTCGATCTGGCCTCAGTGCTGGGAGACAATCCTGCTTCCTCAACTGACAGGTATACTCTGAACTCCCCACACCCAGGCACCCAGGCTCTAGGGTCATTTGATATCAAAACTGGCCATCCTCACCCTCCCTATCTCCTTACCCTCCACAACATGATCTCCCCCTACCTAAAAGGAGGAGTCTATCTCCCCAGCCCTTTAATCTTGGCTGTCCTGGCTTTAACCAATAGAATGCAGCAGAAGTGAGGGCGTGCCACATCTAGGGCTGATTAGCCAGGCCTGAGTGTGGCCATCCTCGACCTGCCTGCTTGACTGTTGATACAGGAGCCAAGGCAAGCTTAGCCAGCTGTGCTCGGATCTGCAGATCCAAAGACTCTCGAGCAATTGTCTTCAGCCACTGGTCTTGAGGGATGGCTGATTTTACAGCAATAGTTAATGATACTGCCCTTTATAGAAGAGACTAGGTGAAAGGTTGTTGGCAAGTCCCCCCTGATAGGAGGAAAGAACATTGGCCAAACCTCTATTTAGGGCTAGGGGTGTGGCTCAGTGGTAAATAGCTTGCCTAGCTGATGAGGTCCTGGGTTGGATCCCTGGAATGGCAAAAAAGATAAAATGAGTCTATTTGATGCTTGCTATATTTGCTGAGCATTTTTATTAAATCCCCATAACAACTTTATAAAGTAGGTACAGGGTGAGTATCCATTATGATAAATGCTTGGGGCCAGAAATATTTTGTATTCTTTCGGATTTTGGAATATTTAGATACACATAATGAGGTATCTTGGGGGTAGGAACCAAATCAAAACACAAAATTAATTTGTTTCATATATGCCTTATGCACAGACCCTTAGGCACCAATATTTTATGCAGCATTAGTACCCCTGCCTTTTTACTGCAACCCATCACATGAGATCAGGTGCAGAATGTACCCCATCCCCAAAAGTCGACCCTATGCTTCCTGGCAGGTGGCGTGCTGCTCTGAGTACTTGGGTCTCTCTGCATCAGCAGCTTGTGCTTTCTGTGGCTGTGACTGTGTGGCCTGATTGATTGACCAGGCTTAAAAGGTATGTTCTTGAATTTAAGATCTCAGGCTTCCAGTCCCCATAGGTCATCAACAAAGACCAAAAGGCCTGGCATGAACAGGATATTATTATTCACCCGAGAAGACATTATAAACCACAAGAGCACAAGCCCAGTAGGCAGGACTGACCACCCAGCTCACTCAGCACACTGCGTCTTCATCCCTCCATCCAGGAGGATCCATAATTAAACCTGCAGCAGGCAAGAGGCAAACAAGGATTTTGTGCAAACTGGCATGGGGAAAGTGCTTTGAATGCAATTTAATTTCAAAATTCTAGAGCTCCCAAACTTGACATGCTGTGACAGACAGTTCATTTAGAGTCTGCCCCTATGTAGCCCTCACTAGGACCATCCCCTGGGGGAAAATGGCCCAAAGAGTATAATTGTTGTTCACTAGATAATGTCTAGGTTTGGGAAACTATGGTGCCAAAGATGCTATGTACTAAAGTTCCCATGTATGTTTTCGGTTAAGTGTATCATGGGAAGAGAGACAGAAAGAGGGAGGAAGGCAGAACATAGGACTGGCCTGGGTCATAAAGAATTCACAGACAGAACTAGTGACTGGCATTTGCCCATATTACAGGATTACCATGCTGTACAACTTCAGAGGACAGCACTCATACTGTATTTTATTCACAGAGATATACATTTTGATGGCCTATGAGACAAGCTGCTGGTCCTTTCATAATAAAATAAATACCAATTAAATCAGTAAGGTGCTGTTTTTCACATATTGGATTGTCAAAGTTCAGATTGTTGGTAAAATCCATAATCACCACCTCTACATCCAACTCACTCCAACCCCAGCAATTCTTCTTTTTTAAATTAATTAATTAATTAATTTGTTCTAATTTGTTATACATGACAGCAGAATGCATTTCAGTTGATGGTACACAAATGGAGCACAATTTTTCACTTCTCTGGTTGTACACAAAGTAGAGTCTCGCCATTTGTGTCTTCAAAGAGTAATCATGTCCATCTCATTCTACCATCTTTCCTACCCTCATGCCTCCTCCCTTCTCCACCCTCCCCTTTGCCCTATTCAAAGTTCCTCCATTCCTCTCATGCTCCCCCCCAACCCCCATTATGGATCAGCATCCACTTATCAGAGAAAATATTCGGCCTTTGGTTTTTTGGGATTGGCTTACTTCACTTAGCATAATATTCTCCGGCTCCATCCATTTACCTGCAAATGCCATGATTTTAATGCTGATTAATATTCCATTGTGTATGTACACCACATTTTCTTTATCCATTCATCCATTAAAGGACATCTAGGTTGGTTCCACAATTAGCTAATGTGAATTGTGCTGTTATAAACATTGATGTGGCTGTGTCACTGTAGTATACTAAGTCCTTTGGGTATAAACCGAGGAGTGGGATACCTGGGTGAAATGGTGGTTCCATTCCAAGTTTTCTAAGGAATCTCCATACTCCCAGCAATTCTTTGACTTCCTTGAGACCAGCAGCCCATGGATCCTATCACCCTTCCTTGTTTCTTACACTTATTCCCTCACTTCCCTCTTTTGGGTGCCTTAAATTCTATGTTACATCGTTAGAGATCATTACGGTTCACTCCTCTATATGCATGCTCAGCTTCCTGGCCCCTCTGCTACACTCACCCAGACCAACATCTTCAAATCCAACTCTGCTACTCTGCACCTGCACCCGTGCCCCTGAACAGGCCTGGGGGAAATGCACAACCACATTGTTTGGTTTTAAATGCCTGCCCAGTCACATCAGGCGGACCCCCAGGGTAGCTTGGCAATCTCACTGCCTTTCTTAGACCATTCACTCTCCCACTCTCCCAGAAGATTATTTCATCCCTTCTTCTGACTCTTCCGATGTACACTCATCCTCCCCTGTGCTCACTCTCAGCTGATGATTTCATCAGAAGAGAACTTCCACAAGCTCCCACATCCGCCTGCACCTACCTCCTCCATCGTCCCCACACCCCACCTCGCTTCCTAGGACTGCTCCTTTGTTAAGACCAACCCCTCACATAGCACTAGATCCCAGCCCCTCCTTTCCACTCAGTCCATTGCTTCAATAATCCCTCCCTGCTTTCTCCTGCATTATCAGTCTCCTCCAGGCATTCATTTCTTTCCAGCAACCTTCAGAGTCCTGTAATTTATCAATGTTAAAAAAAAAATGTTAAAAAACCATGGTGGCACACGCCTGTCATGCCAGCAACTCTGGAGGCTGAGGCAAGAGGATCTCAAGTTTGAGGTCAGTCTCAGCAACTTAGTGAGGCCCTCAGCAATTTAGTGAGACTTTGCCACAAAATAAAATATAAAAAGGGATGGAGATGTGGCTTAGTAGTTAAGCTACCCAAATTCAATCCATGGTATGAAAAATTAAAAAAAAATTGAAAAAAAACTACATTGGGATGGATAGATGGGCATAAATATAAAAAAATCACATATAAACTGAGCGCAGTGGCTCCTACCTTTAATCCCAGTGACTAGAGAGGCTGAGGCAGGAGGATTGCAAGTTCAAAAGCCAGCCTCAGCAACTTAGTGAGACCCTAAGCAACTTAACTAAACTTAATGAGACCCTAAGCAACTAAATAAAATATATAAAAGGGCTGGGGATGTGGCTCAGTGGTTAAATGCCTCTAGGTTCAACAACAACAAAGTCAAGTATAATAAAATAGGAAACATAGATTTTTTTTTTTTTTTTTGGTACTGGGGTTTGAACTCAGGGGCACTCAACCACAGAGCCACATCCCCAGCCCTCTTTTGTATTTTATTTAGATTCAGGGTCTCACAGAGTTGCTGAGGGCCTGGTTAAATTGCTGAGCCTGGCTTTGAATTCACGATCCTTCTGTCTCAGCCTCCTGAGCTGCTGGGATTACAGGCGTGTGTCACCATGCCTGGCAGAATCATAGATTCTATATAGGTCTATATGTGTTTACTGTAAAATTCTTGCAATTTTTGGATATGTTTTTTAAATTTTCATAGTAAGATATTGCAGGGTAAATTCTCTCTTGACCTCATATCTCTCTCTTGCTGTTACTTCATCTCTGCTCTCCTTTGCAGAAAAAATCCTAAACGTCTTGGCTGAGCTCATTCATTCCTCTTCTCTCATTTATTCTCACACTGACTCCAATCCAGATTTTATCCCAACAGTTCACCAAAATGTTTCATAAAGCTCACCAGTGCTGGGCTGGGGATGTGGCTCAAGTGGTAGCGCGCTCGCCTGGCATGCATGCGGCCTGGGTTCGATTCTCAACACCACATACAAAGATGTTGTGTCCGCCGAAAACTAAAAAATAAATATTAAAAAAAATTCTCTCTCCACTTTAGGAAATACAGTGTTTGTTCTTCAGTCTAGTCTTGTTTAATCCATCACCTATTGACTCAGTTGATCACATCTTGTTCCTTATAAGACTTTCTTCGCTTAATTCCAGGATGACACTCTCTCCTCTATGTCTCTTCCTCACAGGCCACTCCTCCTTAGTTTATTTTGTGTCTCTTTGCCCTCCCAATCTCTTAAAGTTTAAATGCGTAAGGGGTCAGTTCTTAATCATTTTCTTTATCTCCCTTGGTTATTTTATGCAGTTTTATAGATTTAATTACTATGGGATTATCCCCCAATTTTAATCTCTAGCCTAGACCTTGTTCCAACTACCTACCTCAACATCTCCCCATGGGTAGATAAAAGACATCTCAACCTCAACATGCCCAGGACCCAATTTCTGGTTAGTCCCAATGAATCACAGGTCCTCTTGTCTATACTCCTTTACAATGTGAGCTTCAGTTCCTATTACAGTTTAGATATGAGGTGTTCCCCAAAAGCTCACATGTGAGACAATGCAAGAAAGTTTAGAGGTGAAATGATTGAGTTATGAGAGCCTTAATCTAATCAGTGTGTTGATTCGCTTGAATGGATTAACGGGGTGGTGACTGTAGTCAGGTAGGGTAAGACTGGGGACATGCCTTTGGGGTATATATTTTGTGCCTAGTGAGCAAGCTCTCTCTGCTTCCTGGTTGCCATTTCTGAGCTGCTTTCCTCCACCACACTTTTCTATGATGTTCTGCCTCACTTGGGCCCAGAGCAATGGAGTCAGCAGTCTACAGAACAAGACTACTGAAAACATGACTGCCAGATAAATTTTTCTCCTCTAAAGTTCTTGTCAAGTCTTTTTGGTCACAGTGGCAAAAAAAGAAGAAGAAGAAGAAGCTGATTAAAACAGTCTGGGCTGGCCTTGCGTCTTGCTTTGACCGATAGAAGACAGTAGAGTGTGAATTCCAGAGCCTGGGACTTTAAAGACTTCATGAATTTCCTTCTCCCACTTTTGGAACCTTGATACCACCACCAGGAAGAATCTCAGGCCAGATCACTAAGGCTGATAGCCCATGTAGAGGAGGAGATAGGGGCCCCAGCAGCTGCCAGCAATGTGGGCCTCCAGCCCAGTGGAGCTAGCAGATAACCTCTGTGGCACAATCTATCCCACCAGAGGTCAGCAGAAAATCCCCAGATCACCATATTACTAACTGCATAACTGAGAGAAATAATAAATCATTTCCAGCCAGTATATTTGCAGTATTTTCCTGCAATAGAGAAGTGAAAAGAGTGACCCAGTGACCTTCTCTACTACCTGCTCCTCCCCCAATCCCCCATCTCCAATACTGGGGATTAAACCCAATAGCTAGCGCTTCATCACTGAGTTACATCCCGAGTCCTTTTTTTTTTTTTTTTTTGAGGTAGGGTCTTTCTAAGTTGCAGAGGCTGCCTTCCAATTTGCAATTTTCCTGCCTCAGCCTCTGGAGTTGCTGGGATTACCGGCATGCACCACCATGCCAAACTCCTCCCATAAATTGATAAATGTTAACTCCATTCTTCCACTTGCTTAGGCCAAAAATCCTGGACTTATCCTTGACTCTCCTTCTTATATTTACATCTAGTGTGTCAGCAAATGATATATCATTACCTTTGAATCATATCCAGCAGGGAGTGGCGGTGCACACTTGTAATCCCAGCTATTGGAGAGGATGAAGCAAGAGGATCACTAACTTGAGGCCAGGCTTCGAAATTTATTGTGACCCTGTCTCAAAATAAAATAAAGAGGCTGGAGATGCAGCTCAGTGGTAGAGCACCTGCCTAGCATGTTCCAGGCCATGAGTTCCATCCCCAATCCTCATATTGCAAACAAATGAGCAAAACAAATTCAGATGTCCATACTTACCACCTCCACTGCTGCCAGCCTGGTCCAAGCCACCATCTTCTCTTGCCTGGAGTATTGCAGGAGTCTCCTCCCTGCTCTCTGTTTCCCTCCTTGCTCTTCTCCTCTACTTCTCCACCCAGCAGGCAAAGTGATCCTTTCAAAGTTTAAGTCAAATCGCATCATTCTTCTGGTCAAAATGCTGCAGGAACTCGACACTTCACTCCAAGTAGAGGTTAGGGTTCTAATAATGACCTACAAGACCCTGCCTGATTTGTCTCTAATCTTGCCTTTTGCTTCTTTCCCTTTGTCCAGCTGTTTCAGCCTCCACAGCCTTTCTCTTTCCTTGAACCACACAGGGTGCCCTCCTATGTCAAGGCTGGGCACTTGTCCTTCCCTTTGTATAAAGTACTCTTCCCCTATGACACCTATGTGACCTAGATACCTATGTGACTTCTCCAGATGTCTGTTCAGGTGTCACTTTATGAGATGGACCTCCTCTGATCATGGAGAGCACCATGCCCCAGCCCTGCCACATCCCAGCTCCGTTCATCCCTAGTCTCTGTACCCTGCTGCCGAACTCTCCATAGCGCTCGACACCATCGGACCCATCACGGTTTATCATTCATTTTCTCCCACTAGAAGCTTCACGGACAGAGCCTTCCTCTTGAAGTAGGGTAGAAGGAATAGAAAACAGGTAGAGACATAAAGGAACAATAGGAAATATAAAAGTTCCACTTGCTTTTCTAGGCCTGTCCCTCTCCAAGCCAATTTCTCTCCCAGGCCTGTCATTCCCAAATTTCTGGGAAATCTGTCCACCTACCTTGTGCACTGTTAGTAAGTAGATTAAGTAAAGAGACATATGACATTTTAGGAAACCTATAATTTGGGGGACTTTCCAGCATTATCTATTGATCAGATAATGGAGACCGTGACAGCCTGAAGATCCTGAGAATGACCAGACCACCAGAACCCCTCTTGAGGTCACCGGGCTGATGTCATTACATACCTTCCCATACCCACCCCTCACCAAGTTTTCTTTAAAAGCAAAACCGGAAAGCACATCTCTCACTCTGCAGAGAGACGAGATAGAGATAGCTGCCTGCATTCTCCCTTGAGAGTGTACTCCTTGCTTTCCTAAATAAACCTCTGTGCCTCTCCTTACAGAAGATGATTTTTTTTTGGAGGGGGGCGCACCAGGGATTGAACTCAGGGGTGCTTAACCACTGAGCCATACCTCCAGCCTTTTTTTTTTTTTTAGACCAGGTCTCACTTTCAGTCTTGCTTACAGTCTCACTAAATTGTTGAGACTGGCTTCACAAATCACAGGTTTTGAACTGGCTTCAAAACCTGTGATTCTCCCACCTCAGCCTCTAAGCGACTGGGATTATAGGCATGTGCCACCATATCTAGCACAAAATTTTTTTGTATGGTAATGAAGATTGTACCACTCCTCTGAACTGCATCCTCAATCCTTTTTATTTTTTATTTTGAGTCAGGGTCTCATTAAATTTGCTCCTGGCACAGCCTCCCAAATTACTGAGATTATAGGCATCTGCCATCACCCCTGGCTTTGGGACCCTCTTCTGGAGATAATTTGCAAAATTTTTTTTCATGGTACCTGGGATTGAAGTCAGGGGCACTCAACCACAGAGCCTCATCCCCAGCCCTATTTTGTATTTTATTTAGAGACCGGGTCTCACTGAGTTGCTTAGGGCCTCGTTAAATTGCTGAGGCTGGCTTTGAACTCACAATCCTCCTGTCTCAGCCTCCAGAACTGCTGGGATTGCAGGCATGTGCCACTGCGCCCGGCTCATTTGAAAAGATTGCTAAAAAATTCTTCCAATCCCTGTATAAATATCTTTTTGCAGTGTGACACTGGTGCTCCTCCCATCACAATTGAGTATATTTCCATGTCTTTTGAATCTGGGCTGGTCTTGTGATATGCTTTTATGTGGCAGAATTTACGTGGGAGTTTCAAGTCTTGTATTAGACAGAGTTCTCCAGAGAAACAGGACCTATAGGATAAATATGAAGAGATTTAATATGGAAGCCATCTCACAGGTTTATGGAGTCTCAGAAGCCCTTCGATATGCTGTCTGCAAGCCGCAGAACTAGAAAAGTCAATGATATGATTCGGTTTAACACCAAAGGCCTGAGAACTGGACAGGGGTGATAGGTCAGTAACTGGGTGGACACTGGTGTGAGTCCCAAGTCCCTGAAGCTGAAGGCCCCAGAACCAGGAGCTCCAATGCCAAGAACAGAAGAAAATACCAACCCAGCTCAGGAAGGGAAGAATTCTCCCCACCCCCACCCTTTTATTTTTTAAAATTTGGGTTCATCAGTGGATTAGATAATGCCCACATGTATTGGAGAGGATGATTTTCTTTGCATGGTATAGTGATTCAAATGTTAACATCTCCCAGAAACACCCTTAGAGACACCCCAGAAATAATGTTTGCCAGCTATCTGAGCATCCTTTAATACAGTTATGCAGACACACAAACTTACCAACACATACCTAAACCCCAAGAGACCTTTCAGTTTCCACCCTTGCCCTTTTTTTGGTGGTGGTGGGGGGTGGGGATGTTGGTAACTGGGAATTGAACTCAAGGGAGCTCAACCACTGAGCCACATCCCCAACCCTATTTTGTATTTTATTTAGAGACAAGGTCACACTGAGTTGCTTAGCGCCTCACTTTTGCTGAGGCTGGCTTCGAACTCCTGATCCTCCTGTCTCAGCCTCCCAAACTGCTGGTATTACAGGTTGCACCACCACACCTGGCTCTGCCCTTGCCCTTTTGAAGCTCGGTGGTAGAGTGCTTGCCTAGCATGCAGGAGGCCCTGGGCTCAACCCCAGCACTGCAAAAAAGAAGCAGCAGCCCAAGCCACCCTTCTGGAGACCCCATGGAGAGAGGGGCCCAGCAAATAGAGCCTGCACCAACCACCAGACTTGTGAATGAGGGCAGTGCAGGGCATCCAGTCCTAGTCCTGCCACAAGATGGCTTCATGAGAGCCAAGGTGAACCAACAGGAGAATCATCTAGCTGACTTCAATCTAAATTGCTGACCAAAGACCACAAGTAAATGAAATGGCTCTTTTAAGAAGTATGTTTTGAGCTGGGTATGGTGGCACATGCCTGTAATCCCAGTGAATCTGGAGGCTGAGGCAGGATTCCAAGTTTTAGACCAGCCTCAGCAACTTAGCAAGAACCTGTCTCAAAATTTTAAAATAAACAAATAAATAAATAAATAGGGCTGGGGATGTAGGTCAGTGGTAAAGTGTCCCTGGGTTCAATCCTCAATACAAAAAAAAAAAAAAAAGAAAAAAGAAAAAAGAAAGAACTTACAATATGCCTAACAAGTGTTGTTGATTATCTCTGCACAAGAAAATATGAAATTTCCTGAAATGAATTTGGTATACATGAAAAAAAAATTGTGGAAATTTTCCTGAATTTGATGATCTAAACATTTTCCTATTTTTAATATAATTTTTTTTGTTTTTAATATACCTAAAAAATGGAAAATTGGGGGCTGGGGTTGTGGTTCAGTGGTAAAGCGCTTGTCTTACATGTGTGGACACTGGGTTCGATCCTCAGCACCACATAAAAATAAATAAACAAAATAAAGGTATTGTGTCCATCTACAAATAAAAAAAAATTAATGGGAAATTTACTCATTAATAATGAGAAACTTTTTAAAACTGTTAATGATAACACTTTTTCAACTATTCTGGAAAAGAGACAAATTATTTTTCTGTAGTTTTATAGAGAATATTTTAAAATCATTGCCATATGAAGAGATGACTGAAGAGTTTATAGTCAAAAATGCATTTACAAAGTGTTAAAATGTCAAAACCATTAACTAATAAAAGTAATATTTTCTGCATTTTGTGATGTTTATGGATTTGTCAATTTTTTTTTAATTTTTAGTTTGTAGTAATTATTCTTACATTCTAGAGACTTAGATGAGTTTGTGTTTTTTGTCTTCCCCAAACTGTATATTGTCAAAATCCCATGAAACCTGGATCTGCCAGTGAACAAACGAACACAAGCTTTTTAAAATTAAAAAAAAATTAATTGTATATAGACACAATAGATTTTATTTATTTATGTGGTTCTGAGAAATCAAACAAAAGTCCTCACACATGCTAGGCAAGTGCTGTATCACAGAGCTACAAACTCAGCCCTGAACACAAATTTTGATCCACAAAAACATAAGGCAGGAAGAACCTCAGGGCCTCTACCTCAAAGGAGGCTGTGGGGGTAACATTGTCCACCCCCCAACACAACTGGGCATGTCCAGAGGGCAGGCAGATGAACACAAATATGAGACTTCTCATGTGGAAATGTTCACCCAAAGTGCTATTTGGGAGATTTCAGGGGCCCCACCTCCAGGAGGGACATTAGTTAGGGTGAGGGTGGGGGGCTAGGAGCAATCCCAACACCTTCATGTCTAGAGGAGGGGGGAAGGCTTGGGATGAGCTGGTCCAGCTGAGGCACCTGACCATATATTCATTCCACAAATAGCTACTGAGCCTCCCTACTGTCTGCCAGGTACTGTGGTCAGGCTCTGGAACAAACCACAGGAAAATTCGTGCCCTCCTGTGTTGACAGGAGGTGTGGGTGGGAGTGGAAGGAGGGCAGAACAATAAACATAATAAAAAGTAAATTTTTTACTACTTGAGAAGGTGAGAAGTGCCAAGGTGAAAAACAGAACTGGGTGAGAGTGTTGGGACATGGCGTGTGACGGGCGAGGAGTGCAGCTTTCCACTGGGGGTCAGGGAGGGCCTCTAGGGGATAGTGCCCTTTAAGCCAAGGTTAAAGGACCCAGGCAGGGAGCCCTGTGGCTACCTGGGGGAGGTGAGGGGCCGGTAGGGCCAGACCCTGGATGGGAGCAGTCTCAAAGGGCTGAAAAGGTGGAAGTGAGGCAGAAGTAGGAGGTGAGACCTGAGACTGAGAGGCTCAGAGCTCACATGAGATGCTGAGGAGACTGGAAGACATAGGAGGGTTGGGGCAGAGCAGTGATGTGCTTTGGCTGTTGACGGGAGAACAGATGATGGGGACAAGGCAGGGAGACCAGCAAAGAGACTGTTGTCTAATGTAGGAGAAGATGACAGAGGCTTGCACCAGGGGTCAGATCCTAGATTCATCTCAAAGATGGAGCCAAGAGGACTTATTGGATTGGAATACGAGAGAAAGAAAAGAGAGGAGAGTGTCACCTCCAGGTTTGTGGCCTAAGCCGCTGAACTGATTGGCCATCACTGAGCTGGGAAGTCTGCTTTGGGGACAGATGAGGGCCAACTCTGGAATCACTGGGAGGACCTACAAGGGCCAGAGGAGGTTCCACCTTAAGGGGAACTGGACCTCAATCTCTGCTAAGGTCTGACTCAATCCAGGATGCAATAAACATTCCTTGAAGGCAGAGTGGGTGGTCCTTGCTCCACAATCCATTTCCCCCTCGTTCACATAGTTGCAGTTGGTGAGTGAACCCACTGCTGCCTTCATGAGCACATTTTTTTTCCAGTTGTTTCTTAAAGGGGAGGCTTTTGAGTCTTTTCAGCTATGGAAGGTTAAATTCGATTTAGGCCAAAATTATTTTAGAATAAGTCATGTTTGCCGTACCTGGTGGGACACACCCGTAATTCCAGCTCCTTGTAGAGTGCTTGCCTAGCATGCAGGAGGCCCTGGGCTCAACCCCAGCACTGGGAGGCTGACACAGGAAGATCAAAAGTTGGAGGCCAGCTTGGGCAACTTAGTGAGTGAGACTGTCTCAGTGGTAGAGTGCTTGCCCAGGAAGCCAGTATAAAGGGAGAGGGATTAACAAATAATGCTAATGTTTTGCGTAAAAACCAAATTGTGAGGATTGAAACCATATGTCCACACAAAAACTTGTATGTGAATATTTATGGCAAAACCTGAAAGAGGGCTGGGGTTGTGGCTCAATGGTCAAGTGCTTGTCTTGCATGCGTGAGGCACTGTGTTTGATTCTCAGCACCACATATAGATAAATGAATAAAATAAAGGTCCATCAACAACTAAAAAATAAATAAACAACAACCAAAAAAAAAAAAAGCCTGAAAGCATTATTTGTAATAAATGCAGAAGCAAACCTGAAAATCTATCAATTGATGATAGATAAACAGAATATGGTATGTCCTTATAATGAAATATTATTTGATGTTAAAAAAATGAAGTGTGTGCTAAATCATGGATATATCCAGAAAACATAATTCATAGTGAAAGAAACCAGTGACAAAAACTATTGTTTTATTCCATTTATACAAAATATCAGGAATAGACAAATCTACAGATACAGAAAACAAATTGGTTGCATTGCTCTGGGGAGTTTGGAAGAAAACGAGGAGGGTCTATGGGTATGGGGCTTCTTTTGGGGGGTGATGAAAGTGTTCTGAAATTGGTTATAGTGATGGCTGCACAAGTCTGTGAATATACAAAAATCATTTCATTGTACACTTAAAATTAGGGAGTTGTGTGGCAGATGGATTACATCTTAAATGAGGCTGTTATTTTTAAAAAACTAGAAAATTAAAAAAAAAAAAAAAACACATACCACAATTTCCCAAAGGGAACCTGTGAGCATGTGTGAGCATGTGAGCATGTGTCACAACTGACACTGAGACCAGTCAAACCACAAATGACTCCAACTAATCGCATTTGGCAATGCTCAATCATGCACTGGTCACACGCTGCTGCCAGTACTTAATACTGATCATAGGAGTTTATAGGCCATTTTATAAATGCCATGCTTGGGCAGACAGAGCTACTTACCCAGAGCACGGAAAGCAGTGGTTATGATCTCAGGCTCTGCAGTGGGACAACCCTGGCTTTGAACCTCAGCTCTGCCTTATGACCACTTGGCAAGTTCACCTCTCTCTGCCGTAGTTTCCTCACATGTAGAACGGAGATAATAACACCTACCTCTAGGGGTGATGGAGGGAATAAATGAGATACTCTATGTAGAACACTTGAACCAGAGCCCAGAACTGGGAATGGATCAATGGTAGCCAGCATCATTGATAATAAGGCACACAAAGCACTGAACTCCATGTCTGGCACACGGGAAGTGTAATAAGATGATAACCGTTACACTTTTCACAGGCAAAATGTATAAGAGACAGAATCAACTTTACAGACAAGGGTAAAGAATTTGAATTATGTTGCTGAAGAAAAAAAAAATAGGTAACTTTAGAAGATTGCTATTTGCCCCCACCCCCAACTTGGCTTTCTACTTGTCCCTCTGTAGCAAATACCAACACAGCCTAAAGCACCAGGCTCTCCCCTGCAGCCTCTTGACCCCTCCCACCACATCATTAATGAGTAAATCCAAGCTTCCGGAGGCTTCTAGAACATTTCCAACTAAGAAACTGGGGTTTTTGACAAGGAGCCAAGACAGGAAATGACATTGCCCCTCCAAGGCATGAACCAAGACAGAACTAGAAATGGAACTCACAGTAGAAAATAATTGCAATTGGTTTTCCCAGGAATGCAAGAGCATTTCAACAGCAGGAAATCCATTCATGTCCCACATTGCGTTGCCTGTTTAAGGAGAAAAACAGAATCACCTCAATACCTGTAGGAAAGAGTAGGAACTGACAAAATTTAGTGCTCATTTGAGATTAAACATTAATGAGCAGAATTGAAGGGAAATTCCTGTTCCTGTTCACATTATTGCATATTTAACGTATTACATATATTTTAACCCATATCAAAAGCACACTTAATGGTAAAGCAAGAAACTATTCCCCAACCAGGAAAGAGGCAAGAATGATAATGGCAAGCAACAAAATGTCCACAAGGATGTCAACACCATCCAATGGGGAAAGAATACTCTTTTCAACAAATGGTGCTTGAACAACTGGATATTCTCATGCAAAAGAAGGAAGCTGGACTCATCTCTTACCATATGCAAATGTGAATTTAAAATGAGTCAAAGAGCTAAAAGCTATGACTATAAAACTCCTAGAAGAAAACATAAGTATCAGTCTTCATTACGTTGGATTTTGCAACAGTTTCTTAGGTATGATTCCAAAAGCATGATTAATCAAAGAAAAAAGTAAATAAATTAGACTTCATCAAAATAAAAACGTTTTGTGCCTTAAAAGACATTAATGAACTGGAAATGGTGGTGCACGCCTATATTCAAGACCAACCTGGGCAAATTAACACCATGCTGTCTCACCAGAAAAATTTTAAAAGGGCTGGGAATGTAGCTCAGTAGTAGAGTGCCCCTGGGTTCAAACCCAGAGTACTGCAAAAAATAAAAAAAGACACTATTAAGAAAATAAAAAGACAACTCACAAAACAAGATAAAATATTTGCATATCATATGTTTTAAAAGGGTCTAGTATCCAGAATATATAAAGAACTCCTACAACTCAACAGTAAAGAGAAATAACCCTATTTAAACATGGACAATGGTTTTAAATCAACAGTTAACAACAAAAGATATGCAAATAGCCAACAAGCACCTGAAAAGATGCTCAATACCATTAGTGATTAGGAAATGCAAATCAAAATTATACTGAGAACTCCTTGGGAGGCTGAGGAAGGAGGATCAAAAGTTCAAGGCCAGCCTCAGCAACTTTACAAGGCCCTAAGCAAGTTATCAAGAACCTGTCTCAAAACAAAAATATAAGAAAGGGGTGGAGATGTGGTTCAGTGGTTAAGTGCCCCACGTGGGTTCAATCCCTGGTACCACCACAAAAAAAAAAAAAAATCATGCTGAGATACCATTTCATATACACAAGATTGGCTATCATCAAAAAAATATGTATCAACAAGTATTGTCAAGGATGTGGAGAAATGGAAACTTCCACACTGCTTGGGAGAGGATTTAAAATGGTGCAGCAGTGGGTTGGGGATATAGCTCAGTGTTAGAGTGCTTGCCTCATATGTGCAGGGACCTGGATTTAATTCTCACTACCACCAAGGAGAGAAAAAAAATAAAATAAAGAATGTAGTGCTTTGGGGCTGGGGATGTGGCTCAAGCGGTAGCGCGCTCGCCTGGCATGCGTGCTGCCCGGGTTCGATCCTCAGCACCACGTACAAACAAAGATGTTGTGTCAGCCAAGAACTGAAAAAATAAATATTAAAAAAAATTCTCTCTCTCTCTCTCTCTCTCTCTCTCTCCCTCTCTCTTTAAAAAAAAAAAAAGAATGTAGTGCTTTGAAAAATAGTTTTTCAACTCTTCAAAAAGTAAGATGATTCATTCTACTCAAATATATACTCAAGAGAATTGAAAAAACTTGTGCATAAATGTTCACAGCAGCATAGCCTAAAATCAGAAACTACCTAAACCTACATCAACTGAGCAACCAAACAAAATGCAGCATACTCATACAATGGAATATTACTCACTCACAAAAAAAGAATGATGTAATGATACATGCTTCAGGGTGAATGAAACTTGAGAGCATTATGCTATATTTAAGGAGCCAGGTAGAAAAGACCACATATTGTATAATTCCATTTATATGAAATGTAACAAATAGCTAGCTAAATCCATAGGTGATGATCACCAGGGGGCTGAGAAGGACTTGGATGGGGAGTGACTGCTAATAGGTAGTGTTTCTTTGTGGATTAATAAAAAACCTTCTGGAATTAAATAGTAGTGACAGTTGTACAATCTGCACTCTTGAAGTGACTACTTTAAAATGGTGAATGCTGCTGGTTGTGGTGGTGCTCACCTATAATCCCAGCAGCTAGAGGAGGCTGAGGCAGGAAGATTGCCTGTTCAAAAACCAGCCTCAGCAACTTAGTGAGGTAGTAAGAAACTCAATTAGACCCTGTCTCTAAATAAAACATAAAAAAGGACTGGGGATGTAGCTTAGTGATTAAGCCCTCTGGGTTCAATCTCTGGTATACCAAAAAATTTTTTTAATTTAAATAGTGAATGTTATGTACATTACATCTCAATTTTAAAACTTTGCATAATTGAAAAACTGAAGTTGAAAAATCCCGTTCTAGCAATTTTATATGTATATACATACATACACACATACATACACACACATATGTGTGCATATATATGTGTGTGTGTGTGTAGATAGATAGATAGATAGATAGATAGTAGATGGACAGCAATGCCTTTATTTTTTTATTTGCTTATTTTTTATATGTGGTGCTAAGGATTGAACCCAGTGCCTCAAACATGCTAGACAAGCACTCTGCCACTGAGCCCCAGCCCCAACCCTCTCTACTTCTTGATACATACTCTAAGACACATAGACCTCCCATGATCCAGGACAGCACTTCAATAGGATAAAAATGACCATAGGTGACATAGTGACAGTTATACATACCATTAAATTAGTGTCAGATTAACTTGGATGCATGTTATGTTTGATTCCCACTCATCCATCTAAATCGTTTTGGCTCACGGACTACGGTTATAGATCAACATCTTAATAGAGTGAGACTGAAGATCACTTCTCTATGGTGCTAATCCTCAGCTCCTAGGTATTTCTAAGCAGATCACAAGGTTGGAGTTTTCGGAGTTGAAGAGCACCTTCTGTCTGTGTAGGTGAGATGTTTTCTCCCCTGCAAGGAGTAGCAGATGAAGGACTAGCTGGAAAAAAGGGGAACATCTTCACGGCAAGTGGCCCACCAACCAGGTTCACCAGGTGAGAGGACTCTTTTGTGCATTTCTTTTCCTGAGACTAACTGTTGGTCTGTGTAGGTTCCACTTTTTCTCTTGACTAGAGGGAACTTAGAATGTGAAATCAGCCTCTTGGTATTAGTACAAGATCTACAAAATTCAGACAAACTCAAGAAGCCCACATCCTGTTTAATTTATTTGATCCGAAATAACTTATTAGATATGATCTATTAGAGTATTTTCTGCATACACAGAAGATAATAAATGCTTGCTAATAAAAAAGAGATGGCCATAAGCTCATTTTACTCCCCCACTCACACACACATCAAGAGGCAGAGTCTGTTTCCCACCCTTTGCCTCTGAGCCGGTCTTGCGACTTGCTTTAACCCATGGAATTTAACACAAGTGTTTATTGCCTAGTTTTAAGCCTAGGCCTCAGACTTTGCAGCATCTGCTCACACTCTCTTGGAATACTTCTTTCATTCTGTAAAGAAGTCCAACTGGAGGCTGGGGTTGTGGCTCAGTGGTAGAGTGCTCACCTAGCATGCATGAGGCACTGGATTCGGTCCTTAGCACCCCATAAAAATTAAAAATAAAGATATTGTGTCCACCTAAAACTAAAAATATTTTTAAAAAAGAAGTCCAGCTGGAGAGAGAGGCCCAGACCTCCCAGCTGAGACTCCAGACACATCAGTGAGGCTATTGCAGGCCACCCAGCCAAGCTGCCAGCTGACTGCAGCCACTAAATTCATGTAAGACTAGAAGAACCACCTTGTCAATCCATAGAGTCTTGATAAATAAACCACTATACTTTTAAGTCACTAAGTTTTAGGGGTGTTTTGTTATTCAGCAATAGCTAATTGATACAGCACTGACACCATGCTCACATTAACAAATGGAAAGCAGCCCAAGTGTTGGTTGGATGGTAGAGTAGCTAAGAACCAGGACTTTGGCCCCACAGTTGGGCCTTACAGCCCTCTCCCACTGTGCCACTTAATAATTGTGTGATGATGAGGAATTTATTGACCTTTTATTTTTCCAATACTGGGAACTGAGCTCAGGGGTGCTCTATCCCTGAGCCACATCCCCACCCCTTTTTATTTTTTGAGATAGGGTCTCTCTAAATTGGTAAACTTGGCCTCTAATTTACAATCCTCCTGCCTCAACCACCCAAGTAGCTGGGATTATAGGGGTGTGCCAACAGGTCTGGTTTATCTAACTTTAATGTTATGTTCTCCCATGTCCTTATAAGAATTCAAGGAATTTGACGGGGTATGTGGGGTGGGAGGTAACTCAGTGGTAGCATGCAAGCATACACAAGGGCCCTGGATTCAATCCTTAGCACACACACACAAAAAAAAAATCAACAAATTAATAGTATAACAAGAGAACTTAGGGGTGTCCTCTGGTAGAGAGAAATGTTATTACATGTTGGCTATTTTTGTTATATGAACATCAACAAATGGCTTACATATGTGTTGGAGTTCCCTACAGGGAATACAGGAATAAATGTCACATATATCAACTTGGACAATTCTCAAAAATATCTTATTGTGTGGAGAAAAGCAAATTGTATAAATGTAATATTTCCATAAAAGTACTTTGAGAGTGCAGGAAGGATGTAGACCCTGAAGGCAAAGATGAGAATGGATTTCTCAGCAGAAATTGAGGAATATTTACTTTATTCACAATGTCCTTTTTTATTATTATACAGAAAGGACTCTAGTTGCAAAATATCTTAAAAAGTTATACCTAGGAAGAAGACTAGGAACAAATAGGCTACAATTCAAACATTGGTGAATTCATTCCCCCTCTCCAAATTCCTGCCTTCATTTAATTACAGTGGTGCCAACTCCTTCCTTTCCTTCGAGATCAGCTTGGGGATGTGACCTTGGGCTGGCCCCCGCACCTGTCCTTCAGCAGGCAGGCCCAGCCAGGTGG